GATTGATCACAAAATCTCTCATTTGGTTGATCACCCAAGTTCTCATATTCAACCAAGTCATTATCGTTAAATGAATTCGTTGGTTCAATCGAAGACCTCACAATGATATTTATCCTCAATATAGGCCTAGAGCCATCGGCAGCAATATCCATCATGTACAAGCTCACATGCCTATCATTCTTTATGAATGTGGGATGTATTTTTCCCCTCCTATTCATTTGATAGCTTATCATCAAGTTTCTTGGCTCACAGGCTAACTCACCGGCCTTAATTACACTTGCAATCATATCGTCATATGAACCATATCGACGCAACGCAATGGGCACTATCGTCTTACTAAAAGATTTCCAATACCAATTTTTGGAAGTCTCCTCCCATACTCCCATATAATCACCACCAGCAACAACAAATTCAGCTACTGTCATATATAGACTACACTAATAGATACTAGATTACTATATCAGTAATTAGCAATCAATGAATGGTACGAAATCTGTACAAAATGTGAATGAACAATATCGCGTTTAGATCAAGCTCCTGAAATGGAGAACATGTATCTATAGTCCTTCTAAACTACTAAAGTTTATCTAAAAATGAGTTATGAAGTAATTTTGGAAGATTTTTTCAGGCTTCTAAAATGGCAGGAATTTTTTTTCTTTGAAGCTATTTGAAAGAAAATGGTATAAAAATGGAAGCAATGACTAGAATGATGATGATTTCACCTGTGAAAGCTATAATATCGTCGGAAAAGTAGTCATAATCGACTAAATCAGCTACAAAAATGGGAGCATTTTGATTTCTTCTTGGAGAGATTTTCTCCAGTGGAATTGTTTTTAATAAATGAAAAAAAAAAAAAAAAAAACAATCCCACATTTGTTGGATGAGTGGGAACCAAAGTGTAGTATTAAAAACTTGAGAGTATAGTGTTGTATGTTTTGGAAGAATATTGAGTGATGTCATATTTAGTGTCTAAAGTTCAAATTTTTGAAGACTTCATGTGTCTAAATGCTCAATTAAGTTTGGAGAGTGATTATTTTGCCAACTCTGTCAACATACTTGTTAATTTTGTATTCCTGAGATATTTAGAACAATAACTTTGAAGAACTTTGTAGGAAACAACAAAGTTTTAAAGAGTATTTTCAAAACTAGAAACTTAAAACCAGTAAAGAAAATAGAATCTGAAACAGATTAGAAATAATATACAAAATACTTTTCTCAAAAAAGAAAATCGAGCTCAATGAATGCACAATGTTTCCTTAATTAATGATATTATTCTCCTCAAGTACCCGATGTTAATGGAATATATCCTCAAAGGATAGAATGATCTTACCCACCGGTATATCGATACCTAAAACCATAGTGTCAATGAACCACTTAACAACAGTAAAGTACACTTAAAATACTAGATTTAGTAGTAGAAGAAGAAGTACCTAGAAATTCGTTGTTGAAAAATAAGAGGAAACTCCTCTATTTATAGACAACAAAGAATAGTGCGAAAACATGTGCTTATTGTGCCTTATCAGAAAGGTCTTTAACCCTTTGAAAAATCACAACCTTACGAAAAAGTCACAACTCTTCATAAAAATTGCAATTTTTCATAAAAAAACACAAATCTTAATATAGAGACAATTTTAAGTGGCACATCGACTTGAAGAAGCAGATATTGGCAAAAGGGTAATTAGTACGTGCACAAAAGAGAATGCAACTAGAAGCACCAAAGTTAATATTACTCTTACAAAACAAACAGTTCCTAATTTGTCTTCAACAAAATAAACAAAAGAGAAACTGCATAATATACTAATTAATTACACGCAAAATGTATTTTGATCTACTGAAATCCACAAGGCATATGAGTATAGCCATTGTATATGAAAGGGTACTCCATTGTTGAACTTGAATCAGTTCCATTATTCATCATAGGTTGCATAGTTGAACTTGAACCAATTCCATTATTTGCCAACCAATTTCCTGTCTCAATCATCATAAAATGATCTACGTTGTTAAATTGATAATCATCGATAGTAAGAAGTCCATTATCCATTCCCGCGCCCATTGAATTTACATCACTAATTGGAATATTTGCTTGAAAGAAGTTGTTGTAATTGGTAAAAGGATTCACATAAGAAATAGGCCATTGAGTAGTTTGGTTCATCAAGTTGTTGTTCCATATTTGTTGATGAGAAAGTGAGGAACTTCCAATATTTGGATCTTGATCATTCATGCTCTTCAACAATTCGATTTTTCCTTTTGCCTTCTCAATCCTTTTCTCAACAACACCAGCAAGATTTTGTAATTCTTTTTGAGATAAATAGTCAAATCTTGAATTCCAAGTCGGATACTTTTCTACTTTGATCTCAGCCTTTTTCTTTTCATCATTTTCGAAGAAGTTGGACAAGGTCTTACCCCTCTTAGGTCGGCCATAGAGTGACTGATTTTTGTAGAGATTTATGAGCTCGCGAACATCATTTGAATCATTTGGCCAAATTTGATGATTATAATTTCCTTCATATATGATCATGCATGCTTTGACGTCACAAAGAATTGAGAGTTCCGAGATTTTCTTCACTAAGCCAGCTTTCCGATTTACCAAAGTAGACTTCCTCTTCTTGTGATCTTTAATAAGTTCAATTTTGATTTTTGATCTTCCCATTTTGTCTGCAGTTCAAGAAAATGCACATACACATAGTTATTTAAATCAAAGAAAAACTATCAAAAACAGGCACTTTTTGGTGTATAAATAATCAGATCATGGAACAACATAAAACTATAAAATCTGAAACGTGAAACAAAAAAGAAAAAAAAGCTACCTGACTTGAATGAGCAAAGTGATTTATATTTGCTCTCAAACAATAACAAGTAACAACTGAACCAAATAATTTGTTTTGCCATAGTTATATAGTAGAATTTGACGCGTTTGAGTAACTCTTTTTTAGAAACTATAATTAGTAGGCAGTAATTAATAATAATAATTTTCTTCTCCTTTTACGTATAGGAAAGACTTATATGGAATGTTTCTTCTTCCGTCTCCATTAGTATTTAGTTTATATTAAAAAAGGAAAAGGGACAATTTTATATTAGTATATACTCCGTCAATTCCAATTGTACCAAGTATGGTGGGTTGATTAATATTATATAGTAAAATCTTTCTAAATTAAGGTTAACAAGATTAAGAAATATTATTATTTTATAAAAGTATTATTTAAGCAATAAATTAATATTTATTAATTTAAAGAATATTTTTGAGATTCAATAAAGATTATATATCGGTTGCAAGATGAAGCATCAATGATTTAAATGAAACCTCTTGTGTAAACGATAATCATGAATTTGAGGTCACGATTAAAATCTCAATTAACATAATAAAATGGATGTTAATAGTTTATTAGATTACCGATCGGGTGAAAATGATATATATATTTAGATGTTCAAAGCTTAGAAAAATTGTGGATACCCTCGGAGAGAATAATGTGAATTATGATGTTGAAGACGATACAATACTTTTGAAATCACTCACGTCTAGAACTCTTGACAATAATTTGGTGCAGTTTCGAAAAGACAACACCAGAAATTTTAGATGCAATAAGAAAAGTTAGAGATGGGCCTTAATTAGATTTAATTTTTTTTAAAATAAAAGAACACTATAAATCATATCACTAAATTTTCTTAGATATTTTGTAATTTAAAAAATTATTAATTTATACTATTAATGGGGCCATATTATTTATATAACGGTCTTCTAAACATATATATTATCTCATAATTGAAATCAATAATTTTTTCCGTTGGCTCAAGCCAAAATCGAAAAAAAAAAATATTTTAAAAAACTTATTAATTTATCGAGTACTAATTGGAGAGGTTTTATTGTACCCACACAAAATATTGTTTTCCCAAAACATTACTTCACTGTCAATTACAGATTATCTATTTAATCTTGAAGGTCCTCGCCTCGTCGGAATATCTAGTTTTACATTAGTTTTAATTAGGGCCCACGTATCGATCAATTCGGATCAATGTTGAAGCTTATTGATTTAACTATTAAAATATTGACTTACAAATAATTTATTTATTGGTTATTGATTGTTATTGGTAATTTGGTTATCAATTTAACCCTTTAAATTTGACACACAAAAATATAACTAACAAACACTTGGAAAAAAAAAAGGTAAACAAAGCAAATGAGCCATGCATATAATTTGACAGATTGTAAATTTGATAAAAGCAAACACTGCACATTGTAGAATAACCCAAAATTTAAGACGATCAAAACTAAAAACAATAATATGAGCATAACTATAATTTACTATGAATTATCAATTATTCTCTCCGTTTCAAAAAGTATGACCTCTTTTCTTTTTTAGTTTGTTTAAAAAAGAATGATTTCTTTCTTTTTTTGGTAACATTTTATTTTCAGTTTTTCATATGGCATGTTTAAGACCACAAGATTAAAGAGCAATTTTGTACATTTGACATAACTTTAATTTAGAACCACAAGATTCAAAAGTCTTTTTTATTTTCTTAAACTCCGTATCAAATTAAACTAGGACACTCTTCTTAAAACGGAGGGAGTAAGTCGTCAAAGAGAAAACCTTAAACCACTAAGAATCAATAAAAAAAAAGTGAAATCGCAACATAAACCGTAAACCAATAACCATTAAGAACCGACAATATTTTAAAAAGTTTATTTTTACTTTCTTGAATTTCATATGGAACTAAATTAACATAATATAAATTGAAACGAGAGTATTTTCTTTTTTTTTGGAATTTTTGAATGCCTAAATTAAGTGTTTATATTTGGGTAATTAGTTATATATATATATATATTTCTATAGAAGATATATGCAAAGAAACCTCTGGAAGGGTATAGTAAATTCCATTTACTTGTAAGGTGCTGGAAGTCTCTCAACATTTTCCGAACTTTCAAGATCCTTAAACATTACACCCTTTTTCTGTATATAAATTGCACCAATCGAACCCCCAAACTCTATCAACAAATTATCACGGAAAATCAAACACTAAAGAAGAAGAAGATCATCAATACTACACAGTATGAGGTTTGTCAGCAAATTAACGTTCCTCATCATTTCAATTTAACCCTTCAAATTCGACACACAAAAATATAACTAAAAATACTTGATAAAAAAAAAGGTAAATAAAGCAAATGAACCATACATATAAATTGACAGATTGTATCTTGGACAAAAGCAAACACTGCACATTGTAGAATAATCCAAAATCTAAGACAATCAGAATTAAAAACAATAATACTATGAGTATAACTACAATTTATTAATTGACTACTCCCTTTGTCCCAATTTATGTGACTTACTTTACTTTTTAGTCAGTCCCAAAAAGAATGACACATTTTTATAATAAGTAACAATTTAACTATAAAATGTTTATTTTATCCTTAATGAAATGATTTACAGTTACACAAATTTCTATCCTTCATTTTGAACTACAAATTTTAAAAGTCTTCCTTTTTTTCTTAAACGTCAAACTACCTCACATAAAATGAGACGGAGGGAGTATGAATTATCAATTAAGTTTTTAAAGAAAAAACCTCAAACCACTACACTCAGTTTGGATCATTATTATCCATTATTTCTGTACTGTATGGTAGATACAATGGTTGGCTAGACTGTATTGTTTGTTGTTGTTTATTAACATTTTAATTGTTTGGTTTGATTGTATCGTACTGTATTGTAATTTATAAATTTACTAAAATATCCTTAATTATTCTAGGGTAATAGGTTTGACTAGAATTAAATAATATAAGGTAAAGGGTAAAATAGTAATTTGAAATATTATGTAAAGATATAATTGGAAAAAGAAATTAAGTAACAATGGGAACACACCAGATCGGTTGTTCCATAAAATAGAGGTTTCCGTTGTTACGTAACAACGAAATTTAATAATACAATACAATACAATACATTTTAAGTAACAATCAAAACAAACATTATAGGTATAGTAATGATACAATACAATACAAATAGATAACAATGATCCAAACAGAGTGTAAGAATCAATAAAAAAAAAAGTTAAACCGCAACATAAATCGTAAACCAATAACCATTAAGAAGAGACAATATTTTAAAAGGTTTATTTTTACTTTCTTGAATTTCATATGGAATTAAATTAACATAAAATAAATTGAAACGAGTCTTTTTTTCTTTTTTTTCCGAATATGAATGTCTGAATTTTATGTGTTTATATTTGGGTAATTAGTTATATTTATATTTCTACAGAAGACATATGCAAAGAAACCTCTGGAAGGGTATAGTAAATTCCATTTACTTGTAAGGTGCTGGAAGTCTCTCAACATTTTCCGAACTTTCAAGATTCTTAAACATTACCCCCTTTTTCTCTATATAAATTGCACCGATCGAACCCCCAAACTCAGTCAACAAATTATCACAGAAAATCAAACACTAAAGAAGAAGAAGATCATCAAGACTACACAGTATGAGGTTTGTCAGTAAATTAACATTCCTCATCATTTCAATTGGTTGCATTTTTCAGGTATCATCACTAGGCGCAGATGCCTCATCACTTCTACCATTAATCTTAGACCAAATGATAGGCAGCAATCCTGCTAATACATTTCTTGATCCATTCAAAGTTTTGGAACAAATACCATTCGGATTAGAAAACAGAGAGGAGACTACTCTGCCGCTTTCTATTGCGAGAGTCGACTGGAAAGAGACGGCGGAGGGGCACGTGATAAGCATAGACGTACCAGGATTGAAGAAAGATGATATAAAGATAGAGATTGAAGAAAACAGAGTGTTGAGAGTGAGTGGAGAGCGGAAGAAAGAAGAAGAGAAAAATGATGAGCAGAATCATTGGCATTGTGTTGAAAGGAGCTACGGGAAGTTTTGGAGACAGTTTCGTTTGCCGGAGAATGCTGATATTGATACAATGAAAGCTAAGCTTGAAAATGGGGTGCTTACTATTTCTTTTGCTAAATTGTCTGCTGATAGAATTAAAGGTCCTAAAGTTGTCTCTATTGAGAGCAAACAAGAAGGAAAAGAGTCCTCTGTTAGAGAAGAGCTTTGATTTTATGAGTTACTCTGTTTTCTGTTCATCATCTGTTCCTCTGCTTTAATTTCATGTTTTCTAATATTTTGGTATGTGATATGTGATAAAAGAATGCTTAAATGTAATCTTATTTTGAAATATTATATAAATTTTTAATTTGAGATTTTCTAGTTCTTCTTGGATTGATCCCTTTAATATTATAGTTCACATTCAAGTTATTAAGTTAAAGTCTAAAATTTTCTCTCCGTACAACTCTCTTTTTCCACTGTTAAGTTCAACCTATCACTAACGGCTCTTTTGAGCTGGTTACGGCTATCACCGGCCAGCTCCGATGATAACACCAGAGGAAGCAACAACCCCAAATTTCCAGACCCGGCGAACAAGAATAGACTGCCTCAACCAGAGGACTTTCCACCTCTCAGAACCAAGCCCATGGAAATAGACCAAACCCACAATCACAATAGAAGGGACTCGTATGCAGGTGCTCTAGGATACAGAATGGGAAATCGATCAAAACTGAAAATAAGGCTCCCTCCAAGAGCGCACGAAATCATAGATGGCAAAGCAGTCGAGGTATTTACAAAGGAGGAACACGAGCTTCTGGCGGACACCTGCCGATGGACAATAATCGGTAAGTTTTCTAGAGGAAGACCAGCCATCGATAGAATCAGATCCGATTTTACTAAGGTTATCACTACCAAAGGGGAAGTTAAAATTGGAGCTAAGGATAGATATCATGTTTTTATTGATGTTGAAAATGAAGAAGAGTTCAATGATATCTTTTCCAGAGATTCTATTGCCTTAAATGATGATGTTGATATGAAGATCTTGAAATGGACCCCAAATTTCAAACCGAATGCTGAAAATTCTTTAGCACCTGTGTGGATAAATCTCCCGGATTTACCTTGGCATTACTATGAATGGGACGCCCTTTGTAGAATTGTGGATCCCATAGGGCCCGTTGATCATGGATAAAGCGACGACTACGAAAACAAGACCAACCACAGCAAAGTTAAGAGTTCAAATTGATCTTGCAAAACCTCTGATCCATACAGTGAGAGTAGGAAGTAAGAAATCTTTCTGGTGAAGAAGAGACTTTTGAGCAAAAAATTGAACATGAAACACTGCCAATCTATTGCTCCCACTGCAAAGTTCAGAACCATTCTACTGAAAACTGCAAGGTGGTCCACACAGGAACAACTAAGGTTAGGGAACAACAATCTAACAAAGAGGAAAAATGAAAAGAGGATGTAGATACCCACGCCAAAACAGGAAGCCAGGAAAAACATAGATCAATGGAGCAACAAAATGGATCAAACACCATGCCCATGGAGGAAAGCTCTAATCCCACTAAAAACAAAGATGAGGGATGGCATAATGTGGTAAAGCGAAGGGGAAAGGAAATCGATTCAAAGCAGACCAAATGGGAAAAAGTTTACTATTGACAACAATACGACCAAAGTAACCAGTAACTTCTTCAATATCCTCCAAGACAAGGAAAATGGGGACATGGAAGATGCAGGACCTAGCCAAGTGAACCTGGAAGAACATGATACTTCAGCAAATCAACAAAATCAAGTGAGAAGCTCAAGGTGGGACAAAGCTCAAAAAGAAAAAGAAGGCAAGGCTAGCAAAAGACACCAACCAAAGCTCAACGTTAGAAGTACAAGAAGTGGAAATGCTGCTAGTATTACCAATCCTGAGGCAGAACTACAAGGCGAAATGTTGAGTTTAGTTATCAAAGATCCCAAAGACATAAAAAACATACAAAATAAAAGGAAAAAGTTCACCGGAGAAGTTTCTATCCCGAAAGAAGTCACACTCCAAGGTGAATTCAGAGATGGTGATGGAATTATTAGGAAAAAAAAGGCAGATCAGCTTACAAAATGGGCCTCACTCACTAACAAAATGGGAACTCGCGAAGACACTATTAGCCAGGGAGCCAATTGGAAAGGAGAAGTAAATACTAAAACTCATGGAATGTATAATAAACAAGAAGGTGGATACAACAACAACCATGAAGCCCCGGATAAACAACACAGAGAGCCTAGAGAAAGAGATGAATATGAAGAAGTGTATCATGATGTGGAAGTAATGGAAACAGAGTTTGAGCTTACTCATACCAGAGAAGAAGGCCAAACCATGTCAGATGATGAGGCCATTAGAGGAACCAATAGATCGAAATCTCAGGAAACTGGTAACAATTTAACCTCTCAGTTCAACAAAATATTAGAGTTTACAACAACCTATCTCCCAGGAACAATCAGAATTTTGGCAAAATTTATGATCAAAGTCACACCATGACAGAAGAACTCAAAAACACTCAAACTACTTCTACCCTTGAATATATCTAATGATTGATACACTATCGTGGAATATAAGAGGGATAGGATCAGCAGGATCTCTAGAAAGACTCCAAACATTTCAGCAACAGTATCAGATTCCTTTAATATGTCTACAAGAGCCAATGGTGGACAGTAGAAAGATGGAAAGATTCAAAAGGAAGTTAAGAATGGATCATAGTTACTGCAATTGCTCTAATAAGATTTAGATTCTTTGGACAGTTGAAGTGGACATCACCATCTTTCAAGATAAAGAACAACATGTTCTGATCAAAGCCACCCATCTTAACAATCAACCCATATTCTTGACTATAGTGTATGCTAAATGCACTGAATACCTTAGAAGACAACTATGGAATGATTTGAGAGAAATGGCTAACAATATCCAAGGAATATGGGGTGCCATTGGGGATTTCAATGTTATCACCTCTATTGAGGAGAAAAAAATAGGTAGAAGCTACAGACTGGAAGAAAGCCTTGATTTTTTAGAATGTCTTAATGACTGTGGGCTTCAAGATGCAGGCTACAATAGTTCTATGTACACTTGGTGTGATATAGGGATCCTATTACTACTATATGGAAGAGACTTGATAGATTAGTCTATAACTCTAGCTCGTTTGACTCTATCTCTAACACTTCAGTGACTCATTTGTCTAGAACCAGCTCTGACCATGCTCCCCTTCTAGTCAAGATGACAAATGAAACCACCAATTTCATAAGATATTTCAAATTTCTGAACTTTTGGACTAATCACCCTGACTATCTTAAGACTGTACAAGAAAGTTGGGAAGGAAATATCTATGGAAATCATATGTACATTCTTCATCAAAAAATCAAAAGGATGAGTAAAGATCTTAGCATCTGGTCTAAACTAACTTTTGGGGATATTTATGAAACTCCAAAAAAATTAGAAGCAGATATCAGAATTCTTGAGGATACTTGTGTGAATAACAACACCCCAGAGAACAGAAGTGAGCTCTCTAGATGTAAGGCTAAATTCGTTAGATATCTCAAGATTCAAGATAGTATCTTGAGACAGAAAGCCAGAGCTAAATAGTTTGAAGAAGGGGATGCCAACACTACCTATTTCCACAATATTATGAAAGAAAGGAGAAGGAGATTGAATATCTCAAAATTATGGATGAACATGATCAATGGATGAAGGAAATAATAGCATTGTTGAAGCTGCTGTTAGGTATTTCAAAAATATGTTTACTCAAGATACTCATCATTTCAATTTTGAAGCTCTAGATTGTATTGAGAGGTGCATAACTGAAGATGATACTCTATGTTAGCATCTATCCCCACTATGCAGGAGATTAAAGATTGCATATTTTCCATTGATAAAGATAGTGCTCCAGGTTCAGATGGACTAAGTGGACATTTTTATCAAAGTGCTTGGAACATCATAAGTTATGACCTCTACAAAGCAGTTGGGTCTTTCTTCCAGGGTGCAAAACTTCCTAAGTTTATCACTCATACTTGTTTGGTTATGATTCCCAAGATAGACCACCCCCAGAAGTTTACTGACTGAGACCTATTAGCCTTTGCAATGTATTCAGTAAAGTCATTTCTAAAATTCTCAATGATAGAATCTCCAGCTTACTCCCCAAAATCATATCCAAGAACTAATCTGGTTTTATTAGAGAGAGGGGAATTTCTGAAAATATCCTTCTAGCACAGGAAATTATCAATGATATTCAGAATCCTGCTAGAGGAGGAAATGTTGTGCTAAAATTAGATATGGCTAAGGCTTATAATAGAGTCTCTTGGGAGTTCCTATGTCAGGCTCTAAAGAGAATTGGTTTCTCTGAGTGGTGGACTCATCTGATCTACAATTTCATATCAAGTAACTGGTATTCTGTTATTGTTAATGGGAGAAGACATGGATTTTTTAATTCTAGTAGAAGCATGAGACAAGGAAATCCAATATCCCCATCCTTATTTATCATCAGTGCTGAATTGCTCTCTAAAATGCTAAATAACTTGTATGATAAACAAGGCTCCAAGGGGTTCTATATGAACACTAATGGTCCAAGGATAAATCACTTGGCAAATGATACTATTCTTTTTGTAATGGTAGCAAGAAACCTCTTGAAATGATGCTTAAAACTCTGAAAGTATATGAGGAAGTTTCTGGACAACTACTCAATAAGGAAAAAAGTTGTTTTGCAGTGGCCATTAATACCAAAGTTGCCACTATTAACAGGCTCAAAAACATTACTGGTATAAAACATCAGCTCTTTCCTATTAGATATCTTGGTTGCCCTCTTATTACTGGTAAAAAAAAAGATCTTTCACTACTCAGATATGGTAAGCAAGATTATTAACAAGATTAGAGGTTGACATACTAAATTTCTTTCCACCGGTGGAAGAGCTATTTTGATTAGACATGTTCTCCTTGCGATGCCAATTCATCTCCTTGCAGCTACCAACCCTCCCAAAGGTACCATTGAGCTTATAGAGAAGTACATTGTTAGATTTTTTTGGACAGGGCAAGACACTAGAGGTAAGTATCATTGGGCCTCTTGGAAGAACTTGTGCTACCCTTATGAGGAGGGTGGAACGAACTTCATAAATCTTGAACGTGCCATGATTTTCAAACAAAACAATGGCGGAACCTCAGAATCACTACTTCACTATGGAAGAATTTTATGGAAGCTAAATACTTCAACAATATGCACCCTATCAAAGCCCAATGGAGCAGAGGACAACCACAAAGCTGGAAAGTTCTTTGCAACATTAAAGAAGAGGTGGACAAGAACATCATATGGATCATTGGGAGAAGAGAGGTGGACTTTTGGTATGACAATTGGACTAA